CAGATGCATAATTACAATTAACAACTGTTCCGTTAATTTTCTGTTACATGACAAACAAACTCTGTGTGTGCTTTATGCGCATTATTTTATTCCATTCTGTCTTTTACATAACAAATTATTGAAAGAAACATTGGCATTACTCCCTTGCAATTGTGTTGTTTACAGTGTTGTTCCAATGCATTTGTGGCTTCACTTTCTGTTTGGACACGTAATTATTTCAGCAATCATGATGATCCTTCGCTGCCTATTGCTCCTGACTGTCTATTGCTTGCTGTCCACCCCGGGAACAGGAGCAAATACTATATCACAGTCTAATGACGTCATCATCTCATCTCCTTATGACGTCAGACAACCGCACATCGGGCCAGATGACCACAGCAGAATGCCTTTTCATCGAGTCATCCGAAGTCCTAAAGGATTTCTATCAAGGAAAGGAATAAAGACATTCAAGACTCGTTTTTTCAAAACATTCCAGGAACTTCACTAAACAAGAAAGTAACTGATGCAAGCAAGCTGTTTCTATCCAAATTCCGAAACAGCGCCAACAAAGTAAAGGTTCAGAGCAAATTGTCCAGCCTATTCAGATCCGTTTCAAAAGGGTCAGTTTCAGCAAGAAAGTCTCTGACATCGTTACTGCCAGGCCTACTGGGTTTGGGCACCTCTGGCGCTGGCCTTGCAACTGCCATTACCCAGTTACTGGCCGTTACGAGAAACCAACACAAACTAGAGCTCCCCAGCGTGTCTCCCCTTCAGCCTGGCGAGATACAGTCTCTGATGCAACATTTAGCTGGTTCTGGCGCTGGTGTCAAGAGGAATGATATCATCGTGTCTGCTGTATGTGTACTACTGTGCGCAATGGTTTATCGTGGCTAAATATGGATCACAAATATGATTTGGGATACCTTTTTCTATCGTGAAACATATTTGACTGCAAATTCTTTTATGTGGGTTGAGAAAGCGTGAGGTCATGATTGTAATACAAATGAAAAAATCTCAAAACAAACCACATCTATTATCTACATATACCATATTTTCTTTCGTAAAACCTATGTTCCTGGAAATTCTTGTATGTGGGTTGAGAAAACGGGAAGTAATTATTATAATATAAATGAAGAAAATCTATTAAAAACACATCTATTATCGACATGTACATTTATAATGTTAGATTTAAAGACATATCAGTGATCATGGAGGCGTATATATCGCTATGGTTAGTAGAGTTAGGCTTCCATAGGGACTTCGGGTAAGAACAAGTCACCAATATCTCACACAGATCGTATAATGGAATCGGGTGGAGAGATTATTCATGGGGTGTCTGAGATTATTCATGGGAGCGGTGGGGTAGCCTAGTCGTTTAAGCGTCCGCTCGTCACGCCGAAGACCCGGGTTCGATTCCCCACATGGGTACAATGTGTAAAGCCCATTTCTGGTGTCCCCCATCGTGATATTGCTGGAATATTACTAAAATATTACTCACTGACTGACTCACTGACTGACTCACTGACTCACTGACTGACTGACTCACTCACTGACTCACTCACTCACTCACTCACTCACTCACTCACTCACTCAATCAATCACTCACTCACTCAATCACTCACTCACTCCATATCAGTATTCTTTGTTTGCGTGCGGCATGTCCGTAATCTTGGGTTCTTCCAAAGTGGTAAATTTGTAAAACCTTTATCGTCGGTTGGGCTGTTTCTCACAACTTTTTTAGCACCTTTATTACGTCATGGCTTCTAGTTTTCACAACCCTCTTCAACACCACGTGGATGGGAGTTTCACCCCAGACGCAGTGAAACCCTGATAAAATTGGCGTGACGTTTACATTTTGCTCTTGTTTTTAAGAGGTTTTTATTTTTATTTCTATTTTATTTACTTTTTACTTTTTGAAGCCCAAAGGAATCGTTTTGGGTCATGTTTTAAAGATGACACTGGTTGTTTTCTGGTTTACATTCACATTTACAATATATATTCGTAACTTTATAGTTAGATGTCTTTGATAACGGTTTTTCTTGCGTTGTACGCATAATGTCACATTATGACACGATAACATTTTTCATAATTTGATTAATCAAAGCATACAGTAATGGCAATTAACACATTTTCATGTTTAGATTGGTACTCCAAGTACTAACCCTCAACATTATCATATAATTGTTTCCGCTAAAAGACACATTATATTTGCACATTGAAAAAAAAAATTCGAAATTAAAAATTTGTACAAAGATTTTAAAAGATATATTCATAATTGAAAAATGTATATCAAAAAGAAACAATGATTTTGTTGGTTTCCTTTATTCCCAATATTTGATCCAAAATGATTTTCTCTTACTTTGAAATGTGATATGTAATACACATGTATATAAATATCAATGTTGTATCTGATGTGTATGTCATGCTTGTATATTTGGAAACAATAAAAAATGCTTTAAAAAAATAAAAACAACATTTTGTCATATTTTATGTTTAATTCGTTAGAATGGTATACTGTATGTCATTTTAATTAGTTCGACTTTTGTATGCACTTATGTTGCCCCAAAATATACCAAATGCCCATGGGTGTGCATGGATGTATGGAGCGGGATCCAAAGTTTAGAGGCAGCCCACGAAGATTTTGATGTTGAGCACACTGCCCTCAGTATGCCTGGCGTGTCTGGGGTGGATCTCCTCATTACTGAGCTCAGTGAATGAGTATGGTTTTACGCCGTTTTCAGCAATTTTCCAGCAATATCACGGTGGTGGACAAGCGCAGCAGACCCCGGGAGCCAGGCTGGAAGAATCTTAGTGCCACACCAATCAAGCCTAGCTGTGACAGCGTACGAGTGAGTGAGTGAATGAGTGAGTCGTTACTTTTAACAATATTCCAGCAATATCACGGCGGGGGACACCATAAATGGGCTTCACAATTATATGCACGGAAATGGGCTTCAAAATTGTACGCATATGGGGAATCGAACGCGAGTGTTTGGCGTGGCGAGTGAACGCTTTACGGACTAGGCTACCCCACCGCCCCCAGCGTACGAGAGATACGAGTGTTAACAAGTAGACCCAGGATCCGACAAGATGTCTTCTTATTTGTATGCAAAGCCGTACCCTCTTGTTGTGTTATTGGGCGATCATTGCACGCATGGCGTGTTTATATATTAGGTTTCTTGTGAGATTTGTTTGGATGATGTTTTACATCCTCTTTAATATGATTAATAAATACAGCTCAACGCGTGGTTGTTGTGTTGGACAATCGGAACCGCCCCTACTGACTCACGATCCCTCGAATCGGTAACATGGGGTTTAACGTGGCGTTCAAGAGTATTGCAATAATATATCGACGTTTCTCTCTCTCTCTCTCTCTCTCTCTCTCTCTCTCTCTCTCTCTCTCTCTCTCTCTCTCTCTCTCTCTCTCTCTCACTATCTCTCTCTATCTCTAACTCTCTCTCACTATCTCTCACTATCTCTATCTCTAACTCTCTCTCACTATCTCTATCTCTCTCTATCGCTATCTCCCTCTCTCTCACTATCTCACTATCTCTATCTCTCTCACTATCTCTCTCTCACTCACTATCTTTATCTCTCTATCTCTCTCTCACTATCTCTCTCTCTATCTTTATCTCCCTATCTCTCCCTCTATCTCTATCTGTCTCACTATCTCTCTCACTATCTCTCTATCTCTATCTCTCTCTCTCTCTATCTCTATCTCTCTCTATCTCTATCTCTCTCCTCTCTCTCTATCTCTCTCACTCTCACTATCTCTCTCACTATCTCTATCTCTCTCTATCTATCTCTCTATCTCTATCTCTCTCTCTATCTCTCTCTATCTTTATCTCCCTATCTCTCCCTCTATCTCTCTATCTCTATCTGTTTCACTATCTCTCTCACTATCTCTATCTCTCTCTCACACTATCTCTCTCACTAACTATCTGTCTCTTTCTCACTATCTCTCTTTCTCACGATCTCTATCTCTCACTATCTCCTCCACCATCTCTATCTCACTATCTCTTTTTCTCTCTCCTATCATCTCACTATCTCACTATCTCTATCTCTCTATCTCTCTACTCACTCATCTCTCTCTCACTACTATCTATCTCTCTCCTCACTCACTATCTCTTTCTCTCTCTCTATCTCTATCTCTCTGTAGCACTACTATCTCACTCACTATATCTTTCTCTCACTATCTCTATCTCACTCACTATCTCTCTCTATCTCCCTCTCTCTATCTCTCGCTCTCACTATCTCTATCTGTCTATCTCTCTCGCACTATCTCTATCTCCCTCTCTCTCACTATCTCTCTATCAATATCTCTCTCACAATATCTCTCTACCACCATCTCTCTCACTCAATATCTCTCTCACTATCTCTCTCTCACTATCTCTATCTCTCTCGCTATCTCTATCTCTCTCTCTCTCTCTCACTCATCTCTATCTCTCTCTCACTATCTCTATCTATCTCTAACTCACTATTTCTATCTCTCTCACTATCTCTATCTCTCTCTCACTATCTCTGTCTCACTATTTCTATCTCTCTCTCACTCACTATTTCTCTCTCATATATTTCTTGTAGCACTACTGCGTGTGCAGAATATTCATGCATACTTACCAGTTTGGTCTCACAGAGTTCAGTTTCTGTTGTGGTGTACAATAGGCTCAGAATGATTATACGTTATAGTCCGTGACTTTCATGTTCATTTTGTTTTGACCTCACACTATGAACGTTCATGGTCCAATGAACACACACAGAAAGTGAAGGTCTATATCCTCGAAAAAGCGTACACAGCCTTGCGCATGCTTCACACATTTCTGACAGCAATCACCAATACTTGTACTCTGGAAATTAAAAATAATTCATCAAATTTTCGAAATACACACTAAAATCAGTGAAAGTAGAAATGCTTCAAACTATAGCAGAGCTTGAACATAAACACGTGCTCTTTGTTTGTAAACAGTGAATAACTATTTATAGCGACTAGCGTCATCCCATAGTGCCTCTCGTGACGTCACGTCCGTAAACAAGCTTCGCGTACCCCAGCTCTCATTGTCCAGGGGTTCCAGATATTTCTACAATATTCGAAAGGATTAGGCGAATATTCGTCACTCCTTGGTCTCACACAAACGCCCCGACAGTCAGAAAGACGTGCTCCTGAGTGGTAGGTGGTGCTAATTCATGTATGCCCTTATACTGGAGAAAATTCCTCCTTGGTTTCTAGGTCACGGATGCAAAATGATGCAGACGAATTATGTTATCAGCTGATTGTAGGCCAGGCCCTCGTGAATTTCGTGCTTGGTTTGAGTATAATAACATTTCACGGTTCAAAGTTCTGGTTCTGTATTTACGGGCTTTTGTTTATTTTCTTGCCGATGACATTGATGAGGGTGAGTTAAAAACAACAGATGCGTTACTGTTATTCAAGGCGAGAAGGAGGATGGGTTGTGCCCAATATGCTGTACATACGAATACTAGGATATTTATAGATCGCCTGTACATTTGACTTTGATGTGTGGGGGGGCATTGGAGAAGGGTGTAAATTCTTTAGCATTTTTTCGGCTAAAATTCGTATCTAGCAGTAGCTCTTGAATCAGTATTTCCTACATGTATGCCAACATGGAAGTGTTGGCTTATTATCGTGTACAGAGTTGTTGATTGTTGATCAATTTTTCTGCTGACCTTAAGTTAACCAAATAATCAATGTCTATTATAAACACCACCAGGTGTGGAACAAGTGTCCATATGTTATGTGGTATTGAAATATTGCAATTTTATTCAATATTTATGATGTAATGTACACCTTAGGGCATAGCTATTGATGAAATTATTATTGATAATGTTTAATAAATAATTCTGCTGATGTTTGGTACGAATTCTTATTAAAACCCTTTTGTGTGGAAAATGAGAGTATTTAACATGTTTGGCCCTGATAGGCACAGCCCCATCAAAACTGTTCAACATAAATTTTAATTTCTCTACTTATTAGGACAAGTTGATAGTGAGACTCAAGTCTTATCCCAACTTTGGATAACCATTTAAAGTCTAAAGTCAGTTTTTGTTTTGTAAGGATATTTATTCAATCAATGAAGATGAGAGAAAATGTATTAAATCAATTATTCAAAATAGACCGTATTGGTGAAAAAATAAAACAGTTATTTCCATAAAACATTTGTCGGCCAGTCTGAGTGTTTGAAAGATGAGGGATCATTCACAGATAGATCTAATTATAATGTTTAAGCTTTGGGGTTCTCTAAATTTAAATTCTGTAGGATGATTATCAAGGACCTTTGGACCAATTTATAAAAAAATATTTTAAATATGACAAATATCTTTAGATATATTCTGTATGTATTCTATGTCAGGATGAAAGCAGGGTAATGTATACACTTTGAGACAGGGAAATGTGTCACTAAATGAGGTAGGAACTATCTATAGGATTATTTACACAATGGCCATTATCTGATTGTCTGCCAGCTAAGCTTGAGCTCGTCATGTTCCAACAATTCTATCTAATTACTTTGATGGTGTTCTGGCTATGACAAACAGTACAGGGTGCAGAAGGGCAGATAAAAAAGGAAATTACAGAGCCCAAACAATTAATGGAAGATTTAACAAACATCGCTGTTTGACTTGTCCTGTTTTTTGGCAAATACCCAAAAAGGTCACCCAACACAGCGTGCTCAGTGTTTTTATGGAATTGTCAACTGCGTATATATGTATAAATGTTATACAGTGAGTGTGTGGCAAGGCTTGTAGATCCTATATGTAAGTTTTAAACTGAATTTTGATTTTTAATTTATTTGGATTTTTAAAAACAAGATCAAATGACAAGTATCAGTAAACAAAATCTTCCTGAGTTGCTACTTTGGATTTTTCTAGTGACCGTAAAAAATCCAGAGATTTCAAATAATTACTAAGCTCACATAGCATTGTGAACTTGTGTAATAAACATGATATAGAAATACTAACCACATCAAAGTGTAGTAAGGACATAATATAATTTAAAGAAATAATATGTTCTATTACCATGACTACTGACTTAACATGTTAAGTGATGTGGCAGATGTTTTCATGTTAATAGTGTAAACCATTTTCTACTATGAATTGGAAAATACTTGATTCTGACTCACAAGTTTCATAGTATTGATCCTGAGTCTTTCCATCTAATGACCAATTTCACATACTGATTATTTGCTCAAAGGAAAGTCAGGTGGAACTTAAGAAAAATTGAAAACATGTTGTTTTATACATGTAGTTATGTTGTAGCTTATATTTCAAGAAGTTTTGTTTTAAGAACTAGCTGTGCAAACCTCAACATGTGGAAATCTTTCAGAAATTCCTTCCCTCTCCTTAATCATCTCATACTGACCCATTCTCTTCCCACAGAGGTTACTTGTCATATCTTCCTACGTAACCTCTGTTCTAATACGGCCATATTTCCCGGTTCTCGTAAAATCCCCTAGCGGCAAAAGATCGCAACACGAATTATCTCCCTTCTTTCTATCCAATCAGAACACGTGTTACATCGACTTAGATTCAACTTGACTAACACAAGCAACTGTGGGGCCACAAATATCCCCAATCTGCCGGGGACTTGTGTTGATGTTACACACAAGACGTTTAATGGCTAGCTTGTCCGTGGTCAACGAGGGCGATGGAGACGCCACTGATCCGCCATAACATGATTGAGTTCTGTCTAGAAGAAACGTTTGCGCATCGTGCAGGGGAAGAGGTTTAGTTTTCTCGAAGCATACGGAAATTACCGAGGCCTTGCGAATGATCACTTTTGAAACAACGTCGCTGATTGCACAACTAAATCTGAATGCCTCCAATCACGAGTCTTGAACGCTCACACCATGAAAGGGCCGTATTAGAACAGAGGTTACGTAGGAAGATATGACAGGAGTAAACTCTGTGGGAAGAGAATGATACTGACCAAGAAAATCAGAAGGACAGTGAAATTAAGAAGCTTGGGCCTGAAGCTATATGTATTATTTAATTGTAGTATTTAGCTGTGATTTACGTATCCAATAATCCATACTAACTGAAAACTCTGAATTTCAGAATCCTAAAATCATCTGCCATGGCAGAAAAAGGAGAAAACAGCCCTGAAACTTTGAACAACTCAATCGACGCCGAGGTGAATTCTGATGGGGATGAAAACGGCCTGAACAGTTCAAACAGTGAGATAGATAGCAAGAAACGACGAACACAGACTCCAAGTCCCCACCCAACTGGTGTTCCGGGTTTCATGGCAGCAGGTGAGGTGTCATTTATTTCCTATATGGAGGAGACAGTGGGGTAGCCTAGTGGTTAAAGCATTGTCTCATCAAACCCCACATAGCTACAATCAGTGAAGCCAAATTCTGGTGTCCTGCTGTGGTACTGCTGGAATATTGCTAACACCATACTCCATCACTTCTCTATAGGACAGACCGCCTCCGTGGTGTAGTGGTTAGAGCGTCCGCCCGGAGAGCGGAAGGTCGCGGGTTCGATCCCCGACCACGTCATACCAAAAGACGTTAAAATATAGTACTTGTTGGTCCCTGCCTGGTGCTCGGCATTAATGGGTAAAACAAGGACTGGTCGGCTCGGAGTCAGTATAATGTGTCTGAGTGGGGTATTCATGCTTCACTGCGGCATGGTATCTCAGTGGGCTAGCACTATAAAACCAGCTTCAGTCTTGGCCAGTACAAGGAGCCGCACATACCCATACACAAGCATGCACGTCGTCATATGAGCGAAATATTTTCAAGTACGACATTAAACCCAATTTCACCTCACCTCACCTCTCTATAGGACAGCTAAGAACACAAGAATTCTTGGTAAGGACGAAAACGAACATATATGTAATTCAAATTTATTTTATTATTGTTCATTAGGGTGATGGGGTGGCCTAGTGGTTAAAGTGTTGGCTCATCACGCTGAAGACCCAGTTCGATTCCCCACATGGGTACAATGTGTGAAGCCCATTTCTGGTGTCTCCCGCCGTTATATTGCTGGAATATTGCTAAAACTAGTAAAAGCAGTGTAAAACCATACTCACTCACTCACTCACTACTGTTCATTCAGCCTGACAAATGTGAATGCATGATGCCCCTACAGGGGTGGAAATAACTTTAGAATTGCTAGTCTACTCCGGTAAAGTGGCACATGTAAAATCACTTGCCTGATATTTTTTCCACTATACCAGCCGTTTTCTTGTTGATTGTTTACATAAACAACATAATTAACATTGGAATATCAACTGGACACTGGTACAGTGTGATATACAAATTTGCTTGCCCGACAGAAAAAAACACTGGACTCGGGCGTCGGGCAATGGGTTATTTCCACCCCTGCCCTAGAGCATATGTTAGCCAAACATCTATGTGAACTGGGTAGCTTATATGAAAGTCTGTAAAGGCATTTAGAAGATCATCCCTGCTTGTGTTGTGTAAACATATCATAATGCATATACATACTTACTCTATACTCTTATGCATTCAACTGATGAATGAGCAAGGGGTACCTCTGAAGTGTCATGACATTATATAAGAAGTTTTTATCCATTACAAGTGTCATGTCTTCATGTAGCTTATACTCAACAGTCAGCCATAGGAATGAACAACTCACACCAAAATCAGACTTATTGATGTCCTCACCATAATGCCAGTCATTATTTTTTATCTTTTATTTATTTCAGCGCCTTGAGCATGCACTAGTGCGTGGATATGTGTGCAATATAAATATCCAATAATAAAATAAAAAAATGAATAATAAACACCAACAACGAGACTTATTGATGTCCTCACCATAATGCCAGTCATTATTTTTGCTATTTTTATAAAATTTTATTTATTTCACCATAATGCCAGTCATTATTTTTTATTTTTATTTATTTGAGCTTGAGCATGCACTAGTGCGTGGATAGTGCTATATAAATGGATATGTGTGCTATATAAATATCCAATAATAAAATAAAAAAATGAATAATAAACACCAAAATCAGACTTATTGATGGCCTCACCATAATGCCAGTCAACACCATAGTAGCTGTTCATTTTCTTGAGACAGTGCCAAAACCTTTGCGTTTACTACCCCACACTTGTCCCGTGACAATATTTTCAGTAGATTTCAGTGTTAGTATATAGACTACTATCAGCTGAGTTTACTAGATAGAAAATATTTGTGCTGGACTCAGACATAGTGACTAAACTGTCGGTTTGTTACTCTCTTGTCAGTAACTTCAGTGTCACAATAGAAACAAATATGTAGTTGTGTGGTAAAAAGACTTATAGGAAAATATTAATGTCATGATCTTGATTTCCTGTAGCTTCTCCCCCGAAGTTTGTGTCGTTTGAGCAGCTGATGGAGGCAGCCAATGGTGTGCGAAACATGACACTTGCCCATGAGATTGTGGTTGATGGCGACTTCAAACTGGACACTCGCAAGCCACAGAAAGACAGGTATGGCTGTGTGTAACTTGCCCTCTCTTTTTTTTTTTTGTAATTTAAATTTTATTTCTGAATCCCTGTTACAGTCAAAAGTAAGCAGTCATGGGATACAGGTGGAATTTTTTACGAAACAAGACAATCCATTCACTCACCATTCACACAAGTACAAGATTATTTTTAATTATCAAACATATTAATAATATAATTAATTCAGTCGTCTTTGAATAAGCCATGATATAAAAGCCATTTCGAGGAAAATTCGGCGTTACAGCTTTTGTTAAAGAAAAAATACATTTTTCAATACTATATCTCAATCTCAACTCACTTCTGAACTGAGCAATATTTGGTAAAACAGAATTGAGCTTGCATTTGTACAAATAATATTTTCCCAATAATATGAACAAGTCAAAAACAGAGTCAGTAAAAACATTTACTATCTTACAAGGGGACCTGGTCATGGCAAGTTCCACTATGAAACGGGCGGTGGGGTAGCCTAATGGTTAAAGCGTTGGCTCGTCACGTCGAAGACCCGGGTTCGAATCCCCACATGGGCACAATGTGTGAAGCCCATTTCTGGTGTCCCCCGCCGTGATGTTGCTGGAATATTGCTAAAAGCGGCGTAAAACCAAACTCAGTCAGTCAGTCCACTATGAAGCTACATTATGACTTTTTGGAGCATATAGTGGTCAGGGCTTTTGTTGTATTCTAACTATAAGTGTTGTGTAATTGTTTTCTTGACAAATGTATTAATAAGAATTTACCTCAATATATTTTTGTATTTATGGAAGTATAAATGTAAAGCCGTGCTACTTTCATACACTACACTCACCGTGTTATGTTCATGTTCCATAAATTAATATATTATGGATGTCAGTTCTTAGATTAAAAAGATCAAGTTAAATATCAAGTCAATACTATAGAGGCAATGCAAATGATCCATATCAAATATGCTTCAGTGGCAGTGCATGTATTTCTTTTCCCAATAGTTGATCCATCTTCTGACTGTATATACTGTATAATATTTGCAAATGTATGGCATGCATTTTTTTCACTTTTTCACTTTCCAGTACACTGTATATATCCTGTAAAACACTGTATATATATCCCAACACTGCATATGTTTTCCCCAATGTCTAGTTTCCACTGTACATTGTACATTGTATTATGTAATAATATGTTTAATTGTATTTAGGGAGAAGGTGATCATAAGTGGTGCACTTGTGCCTAATCCCGTTGTCATTTGGACAATAAAATATGTTTAAAGCCATCTTCTGACTCTTTTTCAGTGTTCATTCACAAGTACAGGAAGTGGTACACAAGGCATTTTGGGACTTGCTGCGTGAGGAAATTAGTCAGGACCCTCCAGAATTCAAAAGGTCGCTGGTTCTCATTGAAGAAATAAAGGAGGTAAGTAAACCTGATCCTAGGTGTTATGTAGATCAAGTACAGGAAAACACAGGAGCTTGTTGGGTACAAATATGTAGACTTACCCTACAACATAGGATCTGGCATGTCTTGACTGGTGTAACAGGTTATATCTACACTGCATGTATTCTGGCATGTGTTAAGAGGTTGACCAGGTTTGTTTTTTCACTGTTTGTCTTTCACGCTGCTTGTATGGTGGCATATGGTAAAAGATTTAACAGGTTGTCTTATGACTGTATGTATTCTGCCTAGTGTTAAAGATCTAACTGGGTGTCATTTCGGGATTTATCTTTCCACTGCATATATTCTGGCTTGTGTTAAGAGATTTAAGGAGGCATTGGGGTAGCCTAGTGGTTAAAGTGTTTGCTCCTCACGTCAAAGACCCAGGTTCCATTACCCACGTGGGTACAATGTTGTGAAGCCCATTTCTGGTGCCCCTGTCGTGACATTGCTGGAATATTGCTAAAAACATACTCACTCACCCATTAAGACATTCACCAGGTTGTCTTTGCACTGTATGTATTCTTGGACATGTTAACACAGTGTATGAAATAAGGCCCGTCAGATCGTCCGACCGCCCGAGACAGGCTAGATTTCTGACAGACGGCCTAAATTTACCGCTAGCCAGCCCGATGGTGTGGTAAAATCTGAGTGAATTTACCATATCTTGGTGTCTGGTCTGGTTAAATCCATTTTGGGCTGAAGTTACCAGCCCTGATGTCTGGCTGGGGTTTTGGCTTATTTCATACGCTGGTTAACATGTTATCTATAAACTGTACATGTTGGGGCTTATTTTAACAGATTTGAAACGTTAACCTTTCGCTCTTCTTATTTTGGTTTGTGATAATAGATTTAACATGTTATTCATGCCCTGTATGTATTCTGGCTAGGTTATATTTCCACATACAGTCAACTCTCGTTAATCCGACACTTGTGGTTGCAGAGAAATATGTCGGATTAACGAAAATGTCGGATTAATGTATTTGTGTGAAAATATCAATGTTTACTAAATGTCATGATCAAAAGGAGATTTCTTTCTTGATCAATGGCGTAACTTCTACAAGGGGTCGCTTAGCAGCTGGTGTACTCGTGACAAACATCTTGTGATGAAAACTCATGTCGGTTGTAAACATTTTATACAGCTCGCTCTACTGTTATTTCTTGATTAAATCGTCTCAATTAATTATCCTGTGTTCCTAATTAACAAGTGTGATGTTCACTGATGCCGGTGTCAAGCAGCCAGTAAGGCACACGCTAATTACCACTCATGTGTGATTGTTTGTATACGGTCGGATCATCCGACCGGCTGTGTTGATTGTCGGATTAACGAATGTTTTTACAATGTATTTACAATAATCAGTTGCTAGATTGGTGTGTCGGAGTCGGAATGCGAGAATGTCGGATTAACGAGAGTAATTATCACTGTTTTAAATGGTTCCCTAATTTTTTGTCGGATTAACGTGATTGTCGGATTAATGAGTGTCGGATTAACGAGAGCTGACTGTATACTGGCTTATGGTTACAGGTCTTGTTGTCACTGTTGCTACCCCAGCATGTCCGATCACGAGCCCAAGTAAATGAAGTACTTGACCTTGAGCTCATAGAGCAAAAGATGGAGAACGAAGCATTTGACATCCACTACTATGCCGAATATGTAATTGGCATCATGGGCCGGCTGTGTGCCCCCCTCAGGGATGACCAGATCGCCAAGCTCAAGGAGCAGAAGGAAATTGTGCCACTCTTCAAGTAAGACATATGTTATGATGTTTTGATTTACAAACATTTCATTAACATACAGTGAAAAAGGCCAGGTATGAGTTCTTAAATTATTACCTAAAATACTTGTTCCTAAAATTATTGACGATTATGTTTTGACAATTACGTGTAGCACAAAATGGAAGAATCAGAGACAAGAAAAGATAAGAAAGTTGGTAAGTTTGGATAATGCGTTCATTAGTGAACACATTATATATTTATATTTAAACGATATTTTACTTGTTGCAATGAAGAGGCATACAGTATTGCATCCAGATAAAAGGCCCACATAAAAACGCTTCCTGTATCACAATACATACAATATATTACAAGCTATTCAGCTCATTAATAACAGAAACTGTTCAACAACCAGCTTCCAAACATTCTCTAGTATTTCCCAGCTAGATGATAATGGCATCATATTCACAGAGCCATTTAGCCATTATGTCCCTACAACATCCTATCTTCTATCTCTGATGCTTCATAAACAAATGATATAGGGTTGTGATTCGCAGCAAAAAGAAATAATAGCAACTAACAAAAGTATTAAATCATAAAATTTTAAATCAAAATACTTAACTTAACCCACACCAGTGTTCACGGATGGTGTTTCAAAGTAACAGGACATTGGGTCCTGTAAGTTTCAGATGTCGGTCTGACCCATTGAAAATTCAGAGGACACATAGAATAAAATTAAACACACATTTCAGATTTAACATTTGTTATAATTGGCATTAAATTATTAACAAGTACCGGGTATAAGATTTACAAACAGCAAACAAGTGTCACATGTCACATATAACAACTTCGGTCAAAGTCATTGTGAAATATACAGTCAGACACTTGGGCCGGCGGGTTGTAGACTTCTATCAGACCTTTTTCGAATCTGCCAGATTTGTCAGAGGGTCAGACGCTATTCGTGAACACTGCCACACATAGCATCAGAAATAGTACAACGCAGCATAGCATAGTATCCTATCACACCACCAACTTTATCCTCAGCATTGTTATCATTATGCCTCTACTGTAGTCAGTGTAGTTTTAGCAGACGCAAAGGAAATAACCTCCTGTTGTTAAATAAAAAAAAATCAAAGAAGTCACACATGGTTGGTCCTGTGGTTTCCAGGGAGATATTTGAGGTTTTAGACCTGATGAAGATGGACATGGCCAACTTCACGATCCAGCAGATGAGGCCCTACCTTCAGCAGCAGAGTGTGGAGTACGAGCGCAACAAGTTCCAGGAGTTCCTCAAGACTCAGGATGGTATGCTGTGTGGAGTTTTGTTAGGATGGTTGGGAGTGTGGGGGTTAGTTCATAGGACACCGGATGTAGGCTGTGTAGGGGATGGTTAGGAAGATGCTGTATGGGGGTTGCCTGTAGTTCAGCAGTTAATCCTCACTCAGTTTGGTGATATTGAGATAGTTGATAATCTGTGTGTTCTCAAGGCAGTCTGTCCTCTGGGCTTAATGTGATTCAAATAAATATCTAGTTCAAGTAAAGCTGTCTTTCCCAGTCTACAGTTTGCACTCCTATGCTTAGGTCAAGTTAGGAGTGAGTGAGTGAGTTTGGTTTTGCGCCACTTTTAGCAATATTCCAGCAATATCATGGCAGGGGACACCAGAAATGGGCTCACACATTGTACCCATGTGGGGAATCGAACCCGGGTCTTCACCGTGATGAGCGAATGCTTTAACCACTAGGCTACCCCACCATCCTGGTCAAGTGAGGAATCAGCAGTGATTTGTGCTTGTTGCAAATGGTTTGGGTGGTCAGACTCTGTGTCTTGGTTTAGTGTGTCTCATTAAATGCAACAGCATGTTTGCTCATAGTATCCATCCTCGATAATCTCGAGCGTATACATTCCGATAAATCTCCACTAGTACCCTGGATTCGTCTACGGCTCGGCCCTATAATTTTATTACCTCCCTTTGCTGGCTTTTTATCAAATCAGGTGTCCATGTTGGGAAGTTGAGCATACCAATTACAAGGCTTCTATCATAACTCACTTCTGCTTTTTTGGTAAACAGTAATGGCGGAGGAAACAATTAACTTTGAGAGGGTGTGTTCTCGCTTCAACATACGACAGTTAACTCCCATAAAGAAGTAATCACTGAAACATTGCACCACGACCAAACCTTAGCGGCTGCAGCCACCATCTTTGTTGACACTGGCAAGCTCAGCTGTAATTTCTTATCTGATTGGCTACTGTATAGAAGGCTGAGCCAGCAAAGGGAGGTGATAAAATTATCGGGCCGAGCTGTAGATGCACCAAGGGTACTAGTGGAGATTTATCGGAGCGTATACCCTGGAAATTATCAAGGATGATAGTATCAAGCACCTGTTTATCTAACCAAAGCTTAAATATTTACAGGTTACCATGACATAGGTGGAATATTGCTAACTGAGGCTTTAAAATCAAACAACAATGTTTTCATCAAGGCTAGCCCCTACCAGCCCAGAGGTTGGTTGCCTTGACAACAAATAGTCCATATCAATGCAGTAACTTCTGTATCATTGTGATGAGTTTGACATACTTTTTGATGGGAAAATGCATGTGTTTTGTCAGAACATGGAACAGATGGCTTGCAGTTCACTAAAGTGTGGCTGAAGCGAAGCTTTGAACAACTTCTGGCTGAGGAAGAATCTTCCGGAGAGGGAGCCACTGTAGGGTCAAAGGTCACACCAGCATCTATCATGAATGAGGCATACATGGAACTTCTACAGTGGAATGATGACCAGATGTTCCCAGAGGTATGGATGAGCACTGATCGTGTTAGTTGGGTGTAGTTTCCATTGTTTCAGTATTATTGTTTTTAGAGAAGTAAGAAGTAGTCGTGTTGTAGTGTACTTTGGTGGTGTAGGAAACCTCAGTGATGTAGTGTACAAAGTGTTGTCATTTTCTTACTGTAGTAGCGGACTCAGGATAGCAGTATTGTAGAGTACATAGTGTTTTATCAACCTCAGTATTGTAGTGATCTCTGTATTGTAGGGATCTCAGTGTTGTAGGGATCTCAGTGTTGTAGTGATCTCAGTGTGGTAGTGATCAGTGATGTAGTGGCCTTGGTATTGTAGTGATCTCTGTATTGTAGGGATCTCAGTGTTGTAGGGATCTCAGTGTTGTAGTGATCTCAGTGTGGTAGTGACCATATGATGTAGTGGCCTTGGTATTGTAGTGACCTCAGTGATGTAGTGACCTTGGTATTGTAATGACCTCAGTGATGTAGTGACCTTGGTATTGTAATGACCTCAGTGATGTAGTGACCTTGGTATTGTAGTGACCTCAGTGATGTTGTGACCTTGGTGTTGTAGTGACCTCAGTGATGTAGTGACCTTGGTATTGTAGTGACCTCAGTGATGTAGTGACCTTGGTATTGTAGTGACCAGTGATGTGACCTTGTAGTGACTCTGATGTAGTGACCTGTGTTGTAGTGATCAGTGATGACTCCGTGTTGTAGTTGCAGACTCTACTGATAGGACCTTTGGTATTGTAGTGACCTGTGTTGTAGTGACCTCTGTATTATCTGTGCAGATTCTACTGATGGACCAGGGCCGTTTCCTGGAGCTACGTGACAAGACACGCCAGCTGACCCTGATGGCGTCCGTGTTGCTGGTAACATACAGTACTGTAGGAGCACCCATAGCAGGGATACAGGACCTCAAGACTACACTCAAGTCCAATATACTCACTGTCATTGCAGCAGAGAAGTAAGTCAAACTTTCACATTAGCCAGGCTGTGGAAATCTGATATTTGTTATTTGCCTCCACCATGACGCAGTCTTAAGTCTGTATGCAGATTTTCTTACCCAATGTCCAGTATTACTTGTATGTTGGTGCGTAATTCTTGTACAAATATTTTAATTCTTTGCCACACAAGACCAGCAAGAGAGTGAGTTAATTCGGGATATTCCTGTCATTCATCAATGCCTAAACACTCATGACGTGTTTCAATTGTACAAAGAGTTCAACGTTTTCATGTCAGTTTCATGTAGATTTGAAGAATGTAGAACTTTTAACAAGATATCAAGGTGATTGTTTTTCATTTTACATAGAGATTGGAAGAAGATGATTGTTTTCCATTTTACAGTTATATCAAGAATGTGATTTTTTCCATTTTACAAAGATTTCAAGAAAGGGATTGTTTTCCAATTTTCAGAGATTTCAAGAAAGTAATTGTGAATGTGGCCGACCAGGTGAAGAAAGATGTAAACGAGTGCCTTGTGAAGCACGGCTTCTCTCAGCTGGATGGGGAGAAAGAGAAGTTTCTCATTGGGCAGATCTCAGATGTTGCTGCTGAAGATCATGCTGTCACTACAGTCATGCGTAAGTTGGACGAAACTTGTCACTCAAATATTTACTGAACACAGGCATTTTGGGCAAAGAGATTGTGTTAGATATTATGTCTTATTAAATTAGATGTTAACAATGACAGTGATGGAAATCTCATACAATAAATAGGATGCTGCATCTTTGATCAGACAAGTGCAGAAGATAGATTACAAGCTTAGATTACTAGCCTATAGAAAATCAGTATTGCTAACTTCTGGCAATCATTACTCAGAGAAAGAAACAGAAAATACAAGCCACCAGTAACGAGTGAAATAATATTCCAGGTTATATTGTTTTAAAGAATGTGACATAGTTAATCAGAAAATCCTATTTGGTCCTACATGCACCTGTTAGAACTGACTTTTCAATTTCCCAGTTTTCTGCTTGACAATGGATACAGCACGAAGTTAAATGCTTCAGATCAACAGAGCTCAGGTCATTGACCTTGTACAAAGAAAATGGATCCCCTTTTCTGTTCAAAATTGGTCCCTGTCCCTAGATATTTCTGCTAATCCGACTTATCATTTTCACTTGTAATTGTCAGTTGACCACTAGGTTGTCAGAATAATCTGAATCTCCTAAAATTCTGGAGGAAAATCATAACATTGAAATTATTGCTGCATAAGAGACACAATTCTCACATTATCCAAGATCATAAATACCGTATCATGTTTATCAGTTTATTTCTTTGACAGTTGAGTATGGTGTCCAAAATAGGTTATATTATTACATTGCAGACAAAAGGATCTGTTCATTCATCAAAGGCTCCATCACTTCCCGCCACACGGAGCCGCTGAAGGTTCCGGCAGGCTACTCTGCCTTCCAGACAGAACTCAGCCAGATGCTGGGTCGCTTCCTGCGTCTCGTCTCCCACAACAGGTCCGTGTTCGGCATGCACTATGCCAACATCATCGGTTCCCTCATCCGCAAACAGCAGGACCTGTCTCCAAGATAAACAACCAAAGGAACAGCTCGTCACTCAAACATCTACAAGAAAACAAATTATTTGTTCCAGACAAGTTCATCAGTTACTCAAAGACACGTTTCCTTCAGCTGGAATGAGGATCTCCAAAAGTGGAGCAAGCCAGATGATCTACCATGATCCAAAGAAACTATTGTATGTCCTTGGTATCAGCCAGCCTGATCCTCGAAGGAACAGCACATCACGCAAACATCAACGTCTCCGAGAGAATAAATTATTTGTTCCAGACAAGTTCATCAGTTACTCAAAGACACATTTCCTTAAGCTTGAAAGGGATCTCCAAAAGTGTAGCAAGCCAGATGAAGTACCATGATCCAAAGAAAGTAATATATCTCCTCTGGTATTAGTGAACTGGTCTTTATTCCACAAGAGGTCCTTAGCTGTACAACTTTCATAGTCCTTTGTTAAAGTGTTGGAATTTTGATAATCAAAGCTTCAAGATTCCATGCCAGGAAGGGCCCTGGGTTATGAGCCCTAAAACCTTGACCCTGTAAATTCTACATGGGTTCATGTTTCTCAATGTCACGGACTCTATTGGTTTAATTATTGGTAGAAACTACCACTGTAAATGATCGTCATTTAAAATACACTGTTATCATTTAATGTAACATCCAAAGGGACCTGCCTTTTATTTTAGATAGAAAGGAGGCCTGCGATTTTAAATCCATGTGTGTCAAAGTTTGAAGATGCGATTTCTCAATAATGTGAAACCCTGTTAGTCTGGACACTACTGGCCAAGAAACTCTGAATTCAGAATAATTTTTATGAACATTTCAGGATTATTTAAGGGACAATTTGTGAATGTTTAAATTGAAATTAGGTTAACTGACGGATTTACTGAGAATAGCACTGTCCAGATTGCCAGTGTTTCACTAAATGTGTTATATATTAGTAGACAAAATGTCTTTGTCCTCATGACGCCAAATTGCCAAGATATTTTGTTAGGAAAGTCTCGCATGGAAACAGTGAAGTAATCCTTCTCGAAATATTAGATGTATTTTCAGTATATCGGAGATGACCCCATCCAAGATCATGGTGTGTTATTTGTTTTTATCTTCACGTGCGTATTTGACATTTCAGTTATTACCGAAATTTGAATTTCATGAGCATCTGTCCTGTGTGCATTTAATACATAATCTGCTGTAACATCATACTGAGTTGGGCGGTGGGGTAGCCTAGTGGTTAAAGCGTTGGCTCGTCACGCCGAAGACCTGGGTTCGAATCCCCACATGGGTACAATGTGTGAAGCCCATTTCTGGTGTCCCCCGCCTTGATGTTGCTGGAATATTGCTAAAAGCGGCGTAAAACCAAACTCAGTCAGTCAGTCAGTCATACTGAGTTATGCAGGGATTCTGTCTTATGTACATATCAAGTCGAAATCACAAGCAGCCTTTTGTATTATCTCGCAAGCAAAAGGGATTTTCCAAATAGGTCCAGGGAGTCGATTCCGGAACGTGTCTGATTGTCATTATTATTTATATTATCATTATTATTCATGACAATAGAAGAAGCAAATGTGATGAACTGCCAAATGTGTTAGTAAGAAAAACTGTTTTGTAATAAGATGATGATGATCTCATATGTGAGGGGGCGACGTGTTACAATCCGGGCCCCGTTACACAAATCGATCTTAACGCTACAACTGTCGTAATTCTAGGTTAAAGTATGGGCTTTGTGAAATGGGCCCCTCTCCTTTCCACAGGTGTAGCATTATCATTGAAGAATAATTAGGTTACCATATGAATATAGTGTGTTTAGTGGATAAATAAGCTACAGGGTTTCTGATGATTGAGGTGGTGACATTTTTACCTTAACGAAATATGACAGGATGTGCATGAAGCTGAAAAGTTTCTTATGGTGGAACTGTTAGTTCTTAGTGGTCATCACGTTTCTGTTATGATGATGTTTGCTTCTGGATTTACAATGCTTATTGTTTTCCTTAAGGTGCATTTTCATGGTGTGAGTCTTGCAGTAACAATTTGTAGTACACAAACCGTAACAATATTAATTCGCATACAACTGAGTGCAGCTGAGTTGTAAGACGTATGACTTGTCCTAATTCCTACTACAAGTCTCAAGCTCTCAACCACTCAAAATCGCTAAACTCTGTGTCCACCTCAGAGTGATGTCCCTTTGTTTGTCTTGACATCATGTCGGAGACACAACTGAAGAAATTTGGTCTTACAGAGAAAAACTGAACAATCCACTTGTGAACTCACACTGATTTGGGCATTCTTCTGTTTTATTGACTAATACACATTCACATTAATGTTAGTATCTGTTCTTCTCTTGATGAATCCATTTTGTCGAGTCATGTGCGAGAATCTCTTGAGATACGAGTTGTTGTGACTTAAAAACTACACAAAAGGCAAAGTTGTTATGATCTTTATTGTTACTACAAGTCATATGCAACATGTTGTTACTACAAGTTGTGGGGCGGTGGGGTAGCCCAGTGGTTAAAGTGTTTGCTTGCACGCCGAAATCCCGGGTTCTATTTCCTACATGGGTACAATGTGTGAAGCTCATTTCTGGTGTCCCCCGCCATGATATTGCTGGAATATTGCTAAAAGCGGCGTAAAACTAAACTCACTTATTACTGCAAGTTGCACTATGAGAACTCACTTTTAAGGAAACAAGCTGTAAGTCTCACATTGGAGTGTTTTACTGATCCTGAGAAGCATCCTGACATTAACCATTGTAGAGTGAACAATGTGCCAACACACTATGTCTCCTGAACTTGTACCTGTGAGACAGCTATTGGCCTGAATATGATGTTACAAGTTGTATATGTTTACCCCATCTATATTCATGATGACACAGTATTGTTTCAGGGTGTTTTGCATGACATTTTCCTGAAGGACTGAGAATCTGTATGTTTATTCACAGAGCATGTTGTAACAGAAGTAGGGGATTACGCCACAACACGGCGATTGGTGTTTGTCGGAACAGTCGTCTTTACGTTTTCACCTTTCAATATGGTTTTGTCATGATTTACTACAAGAACAAATAACGTTGTTAGCTATTTCATTGACAGAGTTTCATTGCATAGGGTGACAGAAACCTGCAATTGTGGGTTCGAATCCCACATTCCACCTGATAATCTTTCACGGTTTGTTGACACCAAACCCATGATCATGGATTTCGTTTTAGCGTACAAGTTACACACCTGCATCACTTTGCTTTTTCCACACAAACTATGTAGCGTTCCAACACGCTAATATATGCTAAAACTCAAGTATAATACTGTTCAACGTGAAGTAAATCCTACTCACTCACTGACCTACTGAATAACCAGGTTAGTGTAAACATCCCCAGAAAGAATAATAGCAAAAAATGTGGAAAAGGCATGTTTTGGGTTGTTGTTTTTTTGTTCGTAAGTGAAGGTTGTTATCAAAATTGTATTTATTTTTCTCCTTGCATGAGGGATTGTGTGATATGATGGACAAATTTCACTTTTGTAATACAGTTTGAATCCAGTCCATTTACTTACCGTAATGCAGAGGTTGTGATTGATCTGTTCATTTGATCTAAAACGTGAGAGAATTAATTTCTGCAAAATCATAAGCCAGATTTTACGAGGATGAAATGTTCCGATTGACTTGAGGAGAGTTGTATTACCAGTAGTTATGTTGTATGATGGTTGTATCCCATAGAAGGTGCTAATGTTGTGTAAATAATGTTGTTTGATAGAGAGAGTTGTCAAATTAACTGTATACCTGCAACAAAATATGTCAGCTTTTTCATTGATATATAACCTGTATATGACATACGACTTCTCATCATTTACATAAGTTAAATACAAAAAGAGGATCTTCTTTCAAATGGTTCTATTCAAGTTATCATATCTGACCTTGACCTTAATTGTCTGACCTTAACCCTAATTTTCTGACCTTGACCTTTATATTCTCGCCATCATCGGTTTAGTTTGACTTATGATTTTCATCCAAGTACTTTAAAAAGTCAGATTGGTGGTTCAGGAAGGATTATATTTTCAATGTTTTTGAAGAAAAACTGTTCAAGGTATCGGCCCCAGTGTGATTGGAATATCCATGTGGCTATGTGGCCATCTACCTAATGTGTGGACATCTGCTCTTACTCTCTGTCAGCCTTAACAAATCTGTCATTTCTATCATTAAAATAATCTATCATTTTGTATTTTTATATGAATATTTTACTTTTTATGTAACTTCATCAAAGAGTTTTATTGAATTAAAAAAATGGTTGCCATGGTCACAGTACATTTTGATACATATATGTATTTATTAATGTTTCTTCAGATAATGAGAACAATAATTCATCTGCAGTATATATGTTTCATTAGGTTTCAAAATATTAAAATGCTGAAGCCACAAGTTCAAGGATTTGTATTTTCCTACAAAATTGCATTCCTACATTTTTAGGTGATTTTTGTAATGTTCATTATATATCTGACACAAATAGCATATAAGGAATATTATTTTAAAAAATGCAATTAAATGCAATGGAAACAACATTCTGGGAGACAAGTTTTGTGATAAGAGGGTTTTTTTCTATTTAAATAACATAGCCCATCTCCTTCCAATGTCTTTACCTTGAAGGAACTTAATCAGTTACATATACATACATATATATGCTCTTATTCTAACCTATACATAAATATTTTGCTGTGTTCGTGTTTTTTTTCAAAAGAAATTCAAAGTTTACAATGTAGCCAAATTGGATGTACACAGTTTGAATTTCTCTAAATTGTCTCTCAATTGTAACGAATTGCAGATCATTGTGTAACTAAAATCAACAGTATTTTTCTACAAAGGAACATGTGTAGGGTGAATGAATTATTAATTAGAGTGGTAGCTGGATCAGTTTGATGTTCAGCTTCTGATACTGCTGGCCTTAGATTGTTGAATTCTTTGATTATCAATGTTGAAGCTGGTATGGTAATGACATAGGTTGAATTCTTTGATTATCAATGTTGAAGCTGGTACAGTAATGACATAGGTTGAATTCTTTGATTATCAATGTTGAAGCCGGTATGCTAATGACATAGGTTGAATTCTTTGATTATCAATGTTGAAGCCGGTATGCTAATGACATAGGTTGAATTCTTTGATTATCCCAATTGAAGCTGGTACGGTAATGACATAGGTTGAATTCTTTGATTTATCCCAGTTGAAGCTGGAATGGTAATGACATAGGTTGAATTCTTTGATGAAGCTGGTACAGTAATGACATAGGTTGAATTCTTTGATTTATCCCAGTTGAAGCTGGAATGGTAATGACATAGGTTGAATTCTTTGATTTATCCCAGTTGAAGCTGGAATGGTAATGACATAGGTTGAATTCTTTGATTTATCCCAGTTGAAGCTGGAATGGTAATGACATAGGTTGAATTCTTTGATTTATCCCAGTTGAAGCTGGAATGGTAATGACATAGGTTGAATTCTTTGATTTATCCCAGTTGAAGCTGGTACAGTAATGACATAGGTTGAATTCTTTGATTTATCCCAGTTGAAGCTGGAATGGTAATGACATGACATAGGTTGAAAGGATAACATCTCTATTTACACTGTTGCAATGTTTAAGTGCAGGTGAAATCACTGTTAATCATGAAACAATATATTTACGCACGATCATGCCCTTTTACAAACATTGTGCTGTGTCCTGTTTGTACAGCTTTAATACAGAGCAGAAAACTAGATGCAGGTTTGCTAATAATTTTAGATAAAACGATGGTAATTTATGGATGTCAACATTTGTAATACAACCGACACAACGCTTTTGGAGAATATTCTTTCACTTCATTTCACCTGATGAAGACGTTGTGTCACAAGTTGACCTCCATAACTTTTGGTACAAAGTGTGAATCCCATTTCTGGTGTCCCCCGCCGTGATGTTGCTGGAATATTGCTAAAAGCGGCGTAAAACCAAACTCAGTCAGTCCACCTAGATATTGCCAGGACATTGCTAAAAGTGGCATAAAACTATACCACTCATTCACATCATAAGTGGGGGATGGGGTAGACTAGTGGTTAAAGCATTCACGTCATGCTGAACACCTGGATTCGATTCCCCACATGGGTACAATGTGTGAAGCCAATTTCTGGTAATCCCCACCATGATATTGCTGGAATATTACTGAAAGCAGCTAAAACACATACCCACTCACTCTTTCACATTTAATAACTGTGGCATTCCTGAGACAGCTGTGTAGATATATCTATGGCTACTGTAATTAATGGCAAATGAGGTTTTTAATTTATGTTTCAATTATTGTAAATATTCTTCAAGGTGTATGGTTCTGTTATGACTCATATTAATTTTATTTCTGATTGTATATAAGAACAAGAATTAAGATAGATGTTAATAGTCATTAGAGTTTTTATTTTATTCTATATTTGTTAATACTCTGTTGACTTTTATGCTCGATATCATCTCATTTTATAAAGGAATGGTTTGTAGTGTCAATGCTGAGTCAAAGTATTATGTAGCATAATTTAGTTGTGTTTACAACAACTATGAACTATGAGTACTGTGTTCAAATGGTGATTATACATATATAATTGGAAAGGTGGGTTGTAATTAAAACATTAACTTGTCTGCCAAGCCCCAGATATTGGCAGATCCAAAACAAAAAGCTAAAACAAGAAACAAAGTGTGATATTATTGTCAGGGTCAAATTTCCTTAGGACTAGTTGTGAAAAGCATTTACAAAAATGTAAGAAAAAGCATTTCATTTTTAACCATACGTCCCTGTGGTGTTATTTCTCAGGTGAACAGTTGACCTGCCTGTGCATGTGTTTGTGATAGATGCCTCCATTGAGGAAGGATATGATTTTTTCAAGAATACCTGGTACTTTCACTATTTTATAGTGATTCACAAGCACATGCTCATGATATGGTCTTAATCAGATAATAGTAGAATCTGGAGACCTTCCTAGTGATTATTGGTATCGTTTTGCCATATTTATGAATTTCACACTGCATTTTTAATTAATCCATTGAGAATTTTTACTTTCACCAAATATAGTCTTTTTATTATTATGAAGACAGAACAAGACAAATCTGTAGGAAGACTGTTTGAACGAAGTCATCCAACCAGATGGTTGTTGACTATTGGACTTGAACAGTATCCAGCCAGAGCACAAATGACTGTCATGGCAACAAAAACAATGCACATTGTTTCTCTGAACCCCGATTAATGTACAAAAAATCCTTTAAAAATTAATTTTTTAATTTTCTTTTGAGAAGTGGGTAATTTGGGAACAATGAAATACCAGTTATAGAGCATCCATTTGGAGCATTCAGTGGACTGGACGTATCAATGCAGTATTATGTGACAGGGTGATTTTTATTCCTATATTTAAAACGGTTTTCTATTTATTCATGTGCTGCCTAAGTTATTTGAAGCTATCAGAAATATATTAAAATAAACTTGTATAATTGTAAATTAAATTGTATTCCAATCAAATATATTCTTATACACTGATTACAATCTTTGACTTGAGAAGTAGTGTTATCGAGAAACTGGTAAATAGGCCTAGTTCTATGGCTGAACCTGCTCGAAATTTTGTTATGGTCAAACAATCATTAAACTGAAAATAAATTTAGTTTTAACATCTATTTATGTGTATTATCACTTCAAATCAAATAGTCATTTGTTTTCATTTGTCCTGATTTTTTGCATTCTGATCAAGAAAAATAGTAGAAACAAATATATACATGGGCCTGACATTATGTTACGCTCTAAAGACATTTGTATTCTTTTTGTAAATGTGATGAATTTCAGTAATATTAAATTATTTTTATTATTTGGCTTTATGATTTACTCTTAAAGAAAAACCGTTATATGGAATATCAGAATAAGAACTTCCAGTTTTATGATGGTTTATAACAGATATACCCGTAAGATTTTAGTTGACTTTTTGGTAAGCGCCTTTGGGTATGCTCGCCATGCATTTAAATAAATGTCTATAAGGGGAATGACATGCTATATATGAATATGTAATTTATTCCTTTTTACATGACGTTACATTCTGCATGAATCATATATACTAATATGTTCCCCAAACAATGCTTATCAGATTATTTGGATTTTTGACATATCATATATTTAGTAAAAATGTACAATTTTGCTGGTGTGTCTGTGTATTGTTCGGTCCGAGCCAGTTTGACTGAACTAGTTTCAGTAGCATTGTTCACCGCCCTTGACTGTGATTAGTTGACCTGTTTGTATATATTTCCATTTGAGTGAGTTGTCCGACATTTATTATGAAATAAACTACACTTCAAGATTAACTGTCTTAACTTATGTTTTTCTGTCAATAACTTCGTATGTGGTTTCTGAAAAGGCAAAAAAGAGAAGAAATGTTTCTAATTGTCTTGCAGTTCATTGTAAACCTTACAAATCATAGGACCCATGATGATCCAAGTTAGAATTGGTCTTCAGTAACCCATGCCTGTCTTAAGAGGCGTCTAACAGGATCGGGTGGTCAGACTTGCTTGGTTGACACATGTCATCACATCCCAATTGCGTAGATTGATGCTCATGCTGTTGATCACTGAATTATCTGGTCCAGACTCGATTATTTACAGACCGCCGCCATATACCTGGAATATTGCTGAGTGCAGCAATCACTCACTTGCAATCGTAACTTTTTTTCCTGTTTCAAATGCCCCATTCTCACTTTTCTGCATTATAGATTTTTGTCAAATTAGAGTTATCTTTCCTTTACTGTGTGACTGCCATTTGTTTCCTACTTTACAAATATACTTTCAACATTTTCCTAGTTGGAATTAAATACCCACTCTTATTCTAATGATTGCTTTGAAATACACAATGCCATTTAGAATGTGGTCAGATGTAACTACAGATTCTAGTACTTTTGTTGGGTTGAGTCCCATTATTTCGCCAGCACACAAAGTCAGTGCCTTCCACAGCATTTCCACTTTCTAAATGGCATTGTGTATTTCATTGCTTTCGGACGTGGGAGCCGTACCAATTAACACTTATCAGAGGGGTTCACAAAGTCCGCAGTCTAGACTACCAGTTGTCCGACTTCAATTTTTGTGTAAGCCGCGGTGGCTGAGCGGTCTAGGGGTCTGACTTTGTTTGCTGGCGATTAGGTGCCTGACTCTGAGGGTGTGGGTTTGAATCCTGCATGGGACTCAACCCAACAAAAGTACTAGAATCTGTACTTTACAAAGAAAGTGTAATCAAAAGTATACTATGTTAATGATTCTTGTCTATCATTTTACGAAAATAAGAAGTGTAATCAAAAATGTATTGTATAACTCCATATGTCATTCTTAATATCAGGAATTGATTTGGAAATGTGTGTCGGTGGTCTAAATGTAATTGTGATAACTGTCCTTTACATTGTTCAGTATGTGTGGACAATTCTCAGCTCCCTGGGGAACATCCAACCAATGCTGTTAAAACAATGTACCCAATAACGGCTGGACTAAGATATGAACACTAACATAGTGTCATAGTGTCAGCAGTGGAAATCTAAGCATGAGTCAAAACTCTGAAGACTGCCTGTATTTTTGCAACTGCATCTGGTCACTTCCACAATTGCTTAGCGTATATCCATGACAACCCACCTGATTAATAACACAATGACTGGGGTACAATGTTTGAAATTTATTCTGTATAATTATTCAACTCCACAATTATTTACAAAAGTATACAAACACATTTCTGTACAATAATAAATAGTATTCTAGGTGTATATATACATATCACAGTGAAGCTTCAAGTTGGTTATCCAAAATCAAACAAACACACAGAACACTGCCGTACACAATAAATAGATAATATTATCATGATTATTATTCAATGTTGTACACAAACTCCAAAGGTGAAAATGACACACAACTTCAGTCAATCATCACAGTCCTGATTACCACTGTCAGAATTTCTAAATTCATAAATCTCAATCGGTAGTGAGATTTACCATCCATTACAATTGACAATACCTAAGAGACAAAACATTTAATATTCTCAGAAGGTGAATGAATTTCTTTCCATCACCAATTTCACAATCTTTTTATCCATCTATTCCAGCATCCACTTTCACCCCATACACTACACATATACACCATACCGACCGGATATCAAACGGTTTGTTCCTTATAGCATTATGTAAATGCATTCAGCATCTGTAAAAGATTAATATTTAATTGTTCCAAGTTTATATGAACCACAGGGCCATGATAGGTTTCTATTAAACAGACATGTACAATCACAAGGTCACATGTCTTCATGCTGCAATGACGCACAAAACAGATGATGTCATCCCTGATTGGTTAATAAATCAATGTCTTCACTGTTCAGTCCGACTACAGAGTTATTACAACAATCTGAGTCAGAGAATCTGACATATTTCATGACATGATTGTAGGTAGTGTGAAGATCCTACGGTTAAAAGACATTTTGATTGGTTGATGACTAGATGAACAGAGTTGTGTGACATTCTCAGAGGTGGAAATAACTTAAAATTGCTAGTGTACTCCAGTACAGTGGCACATGTAAAATCACTTGCCCTGATAATTTTTCCACTATACCGGCCGTTTTCTTGTTGATTTTTAAATAAACAACATAATTAACATTGGAATATCAACTGGACACCGGTACAGTGTGATATACAAATTTGCTTGCCGACAGAAAAAAACACTTGACTCGGGCGTCGGGCAATGGGTTATTTCCACCCCTGATTCTACATAAGTGTGATAGGGACAGTTTGACACACTTCACAATTTCCAGTTGAACCATATTTTCCTCAAACCTGTTCCATACAGGTTACTTCTGTTGTGATGGTAAATATGTAAGCTATCCATAATCCTTGACCCTACAGACTTTCTGTTACAATAAATGTAGATGTCTATAATCCATAATCCTCAACCTTCAAGGGTTTCATTTTGGATTGTACATAATATCTTCAATCCATTGTCCTTGACCTAGACCTTCTGCCTTAGTCCTTGACCTTCCGGAATTGGACATATATCTATAAAAGTACTTGTATCTATAATGCATAATCCTTGACCTATCCCTTCTGCTGGAATTACAAATACATCTATAATCCATAATCCTTAACATCCTATCCTTTCTGTTGGGATTATACATATGTCTATAATCCCATATCCTTCATGTTCTAGACTCATTTTTATTGTACAAACATTCACAATTCATAATCCTTAATCTTCCAGACTTTGTTTCAATTGTACATATACTTCCATCATATCTTATCCTTGACTTTCTAGCATTTCTTTGGGGATTATACATATATTCCTTATACATAATCCTTGACTTTCTGTTTGGATTGTACTTGGATTTCTGCTCCACTTGGTTTAAGGAAAACTAAACATCCATAAGAATCACATGTACAATACATGTTGTCTTCTGTTGTTTGTTTGGATTGATACATGGATTTATACCCTGGAAAAAGGTTTGGTTTAACCCATGGATAAGAGGACCCCTTCTACAGACTGCTTTTTGGTCCTCAAAAATCGGCACGGTGTACAATACATATTTCTACTGCTTGCTTTACATAGAGCCATGGAGGCCTCTACTACTGCTTGCTTTACATAGAGCTGAAGGTACCATCATGTAGGCAATTGCTGCTTAAAATACACACAATTCTCACTGGGTATTATAAATCTGACGTCTCCTTGTATTGGAAGGTACAACTGCAATGATGTGAGATATATACAACTGAAATTGACCCTGTGAGATTCTCAACATGGTTTCAGTACAGCAGACTCTATTTATAATTGTAAAGACCCTAAGAAATTTATGTACCATCATGTGTGTGCATTAACACATTTCATAAATGATTCATATATTACTAAATATAAAATAGACAAGTTCCTAAACATCAGTCTTAAAATACACAAAATACTCTCTGTATACACACATGGGTATTATAAATCTGATGTATTATCTAATACTGATCACAAATATAGGCATTTTTAGCCAAAATATTAGTATTTGGCACCATGGAGAAACACTGGATTTACAACATGTAGTAAATACTGGGTAATATACCTGGAGATATATGTATTCACACCAATGTGAAAACAAAATCTGAACACTGTGTAAATTAGAAAACACAAAAGAATATAATGCAATAGTTTCAACACAAAACTTTGCAGCATTGAGTTTAATTTTGCTGGGTTTGCAATGGCCCATTCAGCAATATTCCATCTACATGGAGGCATCCTTTAGGACACACAGGCATACACACACACACACATACACACACATAAGTACACATGTATGCATGCATAACACAGATCACAAACTCAAAAAAGTCATAATAATATTTGATAAATAAAGCAGCAAAGATACCTGAGATATTTCTGGAAAGTTCTAACAATGTCATTTCTAATACCTCCAAACATTAACTGATGAGCATAGCAAACATAATAAATAAATAACTTGTATTTATTCATTTCATGCCATTCATCTACTGGCTATAAAATGTTTGGTGTTCTGAACAAACATGTGCATGTTCCCTCAACAACATTGATGCAGTCAGGAATGACATTGGTGTAAATTGTCCAGCCATTATTAGTTTCCATTTAGAACTACCCATTTACATTCATACTTTGAGACACAGAAATATATTCTGGTCGAACTGCTCCAATCACTCAAACCAAGGAATCTAAAGCCTCCATAAGATGATATGAAACATCTACTGACCTAACTTCATTGTTTTATTAGAATGATCACCTGACTTACTTAATCAGCTGAATAGAATGCTCAATTAAAATTTTAATTAAATCAGTTTCAGGTGGATTTTCTCCAGATTTTCAGGGAGACAGAGTAAAAGATTTAATTGTATTAAGTGAGTGAGTGAGTTTAATTGTACACCACTTTTAGCAATATTCCAGCAATATCACGACAGGGGACACCAGAAATGGGCTTCACACATTGTACCCATGTGGAATCGAACCCGGTTTTCCGCGTGACGAGAGAGCACTTTAACCACTAGGCTCCCCCACTGCCCCAATTGTATTAAGACTGTGGTTCCACAAACAATATTCTTTTATATGATTCATGTTGATTTTTAAGACTAGGAAAACTTTACAAATACACAGACTTGCTGACACATCACTCTTCGTTTACAAGGTCGCGGGTTCGATCCCCGACCGCGTCATACCAAAAGACGTTACAATATGGTACTTGTTGGTTCCTGCCTGGCGCTCGGCATTAATGGGTACAACAAGGACTGGTCGGCTCGGAGTCAGTATAATGTGTCTGAGTGGGGTATTCATGCTTCACTGCGGCTTGG